GTCTTAGTATTGCTGTTAATGTGTGTGCTGTGTAAATGTCTTGGCATGTCACCTCACCACCTGAATCCTTAACATTCTCTTCATCAACTTCTTCAAATCCTACAATGTGTTTGGTTAGCTCAACAATATTTCTTTGAATGTTTGGCATGCACACACACACTGGAATTAAGGCAACAAGCTTTTAGTGAGGGTCTTGTTTGTGACTGCATGGAGACGAATTAAAAGATCAGCTATTGAGTAGTTCATTGTTTGGCAACACTGGTGCATGTTACACTCCTTTCCACTCCATCTCTCCAATCATCCACACCTTTCTGCATTCTCACTCCATATTTTAAATTGTTATTTAATGTATTGTTGAAGAGATACAACTTTGCTCATTTATACTTATCACAATCTCCCTAAAAATACTTTAGCTTTCGTGTTTATACAAAACATCTTCAGGTCATGAGACCCACTAATCCCCCACCCAAGAAAGGGTGACCTGACACTCCATCAGGTCAGTAATATGAGACCACTAATCCCCCACCTGACATCTAGTCAGTTTCAGGTCAGGTCCCCCCAAAAAATACTTTTGCTTTCGTCTTTATTTGAAACATTTTCAGAAAATCTCTAGATTTTTAACATGGGGAAATTTTTTTTCCAAAGCTGGAAATTTTTTAAACATTCCAACTTTGGGAATGATTTTCCAAGCAAATTTCAATTCCGGCTATCAGAGAGTTCCGGGTTTGAGGGATTCCAGCCAATGAAATATTAATGCATGCATTACCAATATTTAATATTGGTAGTACTGTACAAGTCATTGTTTACTGTAATTTTTCTAATAATAACCAAGACTAAAGTGCCTGCATTTTTTTTATTATACTTTATGGCGCTTGGCCCCACAGTCGAAATATTGGTAATACCTGGTATTGTTTGCTTTTATGCAAGCAGTACAATGACCTTTGACTTTCTGGTGTGGTCTTATACATTATTGCTTCCATGTAATGAAAATTATACCTCAGCAATGCATAATAATGAAACTGCTAACAATACCCATAAAAAATTAATGTAATTTTTACTATAAACAATCTGTTCAATTAATATGACTTTAGTATCTGCAAAACCAGCTTAAAGAGCTCTACACACTGCCACTTGAATAAAATCATATCTTTATTAGTTCAAAAGTTGTCATTTTAAATTTTTTCAAACTTTTGAGTATTTTTCTCGATTGTGATTTTTTGGCGTTTGGCATCTTGTCACACACTGTGCCTATTATCTGGCGAGTGCCTTTTCAGTATACTGTACTGTACTGTACATGTATTTGAGTTTTCTGTTCATAACCAAGTATTTCTTCAGCTGTCTCTGAGTACTGCATTTATTGTTTCTTTACCAGGAATGAACTGAAATAACATTTCAGACACCTCATTAACTTCCTATCTACGGTACTACCCGAGTTGCTGTGTTAAAAATTGGGCAGAAGAATGGCATCTGTGCACAGTGAGGGTGAAAACTTGCTGACAAGTAATATGATTTCTTGATTTATTTTTTCACTGAAAGAGGACAACTGATATCATGTAAGTTTTTAGTGATGTTTAAGGTGCCCGAGCCACACTGTTTAACAAATCAGGTACATAAACATAAATAGAACTCTTCTATTTATTTTTCAATAGATTTACAAAGCTACAATGTCAACAAATATATAAACATCTATATACACAGCTATATGCATAACATGAGCTCATTAAAAGAAAATGCATCCCAATTTCAGGTACAACTCTTAACTTGATTAGTTTCAATTTCCATCTGCAGATTTCAAGATTATTGTGCTAGTAGTCTAAGCTGAGGAGCTTATATTCATTTAAACTTTTGTCTGCTTGTCTTGAATTTAGGTGAAAGCTGTACTACATCCAATGAGGAGTAATGTAAAGATATTTACTTATGGCAGTAGTGAGTATTACAGACCTTAAATGTAAATAGTAAGTCTATAATACAATTAACACAAAAAATTCCTGATATGAGAAAGGATTATTCTCCTATTTAAAAAAATATTAAGATGATTAGCCAAGTTTCCCTACTTGTGAGAAAAACATCAACATTATACCAGCTAAACCCCTGTAACTGTATTACTGAAATAAAGTTTTGTATTTATATCATGACTAAATACTTGATGCCATAAGGAATCTGAGTACTTCTCTTTACTGTATATGGCAAAACAAAACTTTCTGATCATTTCCAGTGATTTCCATATGGAGATTAACCACTGCATGAACAAGATAAGTTATTAGGGATTTGCAAAGGTTGTTACACCATTCAGTACCAGTTTCTTACAGTAAAGTGTATATTCTGAATGTACAGTAATACAAACTGATTCTGGACACTTTCACTTATGAGAAAATTCTACATGTTTGGAATCTCTCACTTCTCCCAAAAATCCCATTTACATTAACCATACAAAGTGAAACCATCTAGTTACAGGGAGACAAGTGGCAGCACAGTCAATATAAAAGAGAAGCAGCCAGAAGAGTTTGTCAAACTTTGCCATTGTATGTAGAATTCACTAGAGTTAGCTGACTATACCAGATGGTCAAGATATGTAAAGGATGATCCTTAAAGTTGAATAACCCAATGAAGAGATTAAACATGCCGAAATAATTGTTGACCTGCAGAGATTACTTGTAAAAAAAAAAAAAAAAATTAAAATAAAAAATAAATATTGCTATATGTAAACCCTCACTCCCTTGACATAATCTTCAAAATTTGACCATATCACAGAACCACTCAGCCCACTACAGGACACAACAGTATGTGAACAATGGTTGTTATATCCACAGTGGTTTGTGTGGACTAACTGACACATATTTATTACAATACCATTGCCCTACTCACCCTCTTGGCAGGTGAGGGTAATAAATAATACCTAAACTAATCTGGAATCATAACTATGTATTGTTGAGCAAACAGTGTGATGAATCAAGGAACCTTGACACACTTTAAAAGAAAACTGTACTACACTGATCTCCTTAACGTTGACAACCAACTAGGATATCTTAAATTACGGCCACTCAAAACCATAATGTATTAAATACAAAGAAGATGGAATATATATATATATATATATATATATATATATATATATATATATATATATATATATATATATAATATATATATATATATATATATATATATATATATATATATATATATATATATATATATATATATATATATATATATATATATATATATATATATATATATATATATATATATATATATATATATATATATATATATATATAATCCTTTCATTTTATGACAATTATCCAACCCATTTACTGCTAATTTTACATTCAAGAACATTCTAAAACAATTATTATTTTCTAAGAATATTGTATTGCAAATAAATATTCATCATTAGAAAAAAAAAAAATTATATATATATATATATATATATATATATATATATATATATATATATATATATATATATATATATATATATATATATATATATATATATATATATATATATATATATATATATATATATATATACGTATATATATATATATATATAGAGTCTGCGCGGAATGTTAAGTTGCGATAGGGCCGACGAACTAAGTTCTCGCAAACATAAGATCATATGTTGTGAAGCCTGTCCTGGGATGCGAGATGTCAAAACGCTTGGTTTGTTGGCAAGTGCTGACATTTGGCAACTGAGAACACGTCACGGCTTGTAGTCAGTGAGCCTCTGGCAGCTGTGAGGGGAATATTTATTGTGCGGGTTCCCGTGCCATGTGACCATGTTTTGTCTAGTTTAAAGTGCATTAACCCAACATAGTGGCCATCAGAGATGTCCAGGAGGGTTACTACAAGAGACGATATTGCAGCAGTGATTGCATTGTACAAAGCGAACCATGTACTGAGAGAAATATCAGCTCAGATTGGTGTGGCATTACGAGTTGTTCAAAATCTTGTCAAACGTTTCCGTGACCTTGGAGAGGACGAGTTACCAGCTCCATTACCTAAGTCTGGTAGGCCTAAATTATTGTCTCCACGGACACTTAAGGTTATTTCTCGACAAGTTCGGTCCAATCCCTCACTCACAGCACGTGAAGTAAAGAGAGAAACCCCCGTCTTTTGAGTCACGTCTCGTTATTTGTGTTCAACAAGCCCTGCACGATGACCTGGGATTTAAGAGCTTTCGTGCCCAGCCGTAAACCTCTGTTGACAAAGAGACAGAAGGAAAATAGAGTGAAATTTTGCAAGAAATATGAAGTGTGGGATTTAGAGACATGGAGGAGTGTATTATGGTCGGATGAGGCTACGTTTTCTGTGACTGGGAGTTATGGAGGGAGGGTGTACTGCCCCCTCAGATGCGCACCTCCCACAGTACACTGTAAAGACTGTTAAGCACCCTGCCTCGCTTATGGTTTGGGCTTCCTTTACGTATAATGGTGTAGGTGAACTCGTAATCCTCCCTAAGAACCAGATGATGAATCAGTACAACTATCTTGAACTGCTCAGTGATTTCTTTCCTGAATCATTTGATAAAGCTAAGGCAAGCCTTTTCATGCAGGACGTTGCCCCATGCCACACTGCTAAAAGTGTCATACAGTGGCTCAAAGACTGTGAGGTACCTTTCTTTAATGACTGGCCTGGCAGTAGCCCAGATCTTAACCCAATAGAAAATTTGTTAAGCGTCGTCTGCGCGACGCTGACACATCATCAATCCCAAAGCTAGAGGCAGCCATCAAGGATACCTGGGCTAACTTGCCACCTGACCTCTTGCAAAACCTTGCTGACAGTGTTCCTCGAAGACTAAAAGACTGTCTGAAGCGCAGAGGAAACACTAAAAAGTATTAATTGAAGTGGTAAGTGTTACATGACTTTATTTATATAACATAATCGTAAATATCAATATTTTTTCAGCACACGAGCTAACATTCCGCGCAGACTGTATATATATATATGTGTGTGTGTGTGTGTAATGGAACTTTTTCAGAGACAAGGTTTCCAAAAAAAAAAAAAATGAAACCTCACAACCTAAATGATACAATTTTTACTGTAATGAAGATGAAACCTAGTAATGAAAACTGCTCCAAAGCTAAACAGGCAATATCATTCACACAAGTTAGAAAAAAATACTTCAAACACACTTACAAGGAACATTCAAACTGAATATAGATCAGCAAACCATAATCAGATTGACTACTCCATAACCCTGCAGTTTTCAAATGAGAACCAAACCTAATGTAACACTCACAGCCACATCTCTGAATGTGTGCGACTAGACAAGAACAAGAAAACCCATAAATAATGGGAACGCAGCAACTCGGCATTTCCTCAGAAATCAAAATATTGAATAGCACTATTGTACCTCCAAATAAAATTAAACAAGATCTTGTAGAATTACTTGACATTACAGAACCAAGAAAGTTGATAAACAAACAATATTAATTACTCCAAGCTGAATGTCCTATTATTCATTGCACAAACTTGTTTTTGTGATACCTGCTAGAATGGTGTAATTGGGTATTGACATGGCTCTAACACTGCCACTAGATCTGGTAAGGCAAATTATTGCCGCTCACCTTTGATTTCAGTATAAAAATTATAATTACATTTTGTAACACCAGCTGAATGCAAATGATATCAATCTCTGATATGAAAAGATGGATTTTTACACTATTAGGTAGCAGTATTGTATTGTCTTCTTCAAAGGCACATAACTAGATCTACAGTATCTCATCTACACAACAGAATAAGCTTACTTAACTGTCATCAATACAGGATAGCTTGTACACGTCAGAAACTAATAAGTGCACTCCTGACAGCAGTTTAAAGTGGTAGCTTCTTACATACAGTACCGAGTTCATAAAGCTAGCACCGCAAAGTTACAAGATTTCAAGCAACTCTTTCTAAAGCTGGTAACAATAGACAAACCTCTTTCAGTATTCATAATAGTACTAATGGTTGTGATCACATTTCCAGTGACTAATATGACCACAACTCTCCTATTTATTACTATTATTGTACTAGGACTTACTATTTGCCAAGCTAACCATTCCTATTTGACAGCAAGCAAAACTGACTTATCAATTTACAGCATAAGTTATGAGTGATGATTATTTCATTAAATTGTATCATTATCTGTACATTACTTTAAACGGAGCTCTGATAAGATTCATCCTTAGAGCAAACATCCTAACTTGTGTTCCACTTCAAATTAGAAACACTTATTTTGGCTAAATTTTGTGTAAATGTTCATATTCACAAAATATTTTCAGGAGCGGTACTGCATATAAATATCTCGACACTAGACTGCCGATGAATAAGAATCACTCCTTCATAATTTCTGTTTTCTGAATGCCTGCTTGAAAATGCACTACTGTGAACTTGGAAGAAAAAACCATAAAGTGACTGCTACTAAATTTATGTTCTTTATAACTGATGTTGATTACAGAAATTCCAACACTTGAGGAGAGACCACAAGACAAAAAAAAAAGTTTTGGAGTTGGTTATCTTCAGCCACCAGTACAAGTAACATGGAGCACATCACAAGAAATTTTATATATATATATACTATATACTGTTTATATATAACTTAAATTTCAACATCATCACTAGGAACAATTTGTAAGCACCTTAGTTGGCATGGCTTTAGTTAAAAACAAAGGGGGAAAGAATCCATCTAAAGTACTGGAAGACATTAAAACAAAATGGTGTATAATTGGTATCTCTGTCAAGGATTACTCTGCAAACAGTTTACTTACTGTAACACAAAGTAGAACGAATGGTGAAATAATTACCTGTATTGAGCACTGATAGAAAAAATTCAACTACTGTACTGTGAATTAGGATCACACCTTTTTTGTGGGGGACAATGCAAAGTAGGAGCTTCAATATGGTAAATTATTTCATCCTATCTACAGAATATCAATATCAAAACATCTGAAGTAAAATCTGTAATACACCTATCATTAACAAGGTATGTGTAGTTGCAGCTTAGGTACCACAGAAAGTGACTTTCCAATATGTTATCGACTTTGGCAAATTTCAATGGGTCACATAATAGTCAATTATTTACCAATTGCATTTAAACATCTTTTCTGTCACTTCACTAGAGATTAACATCACCTTTACAGAATTTTTAAAATTACTCTGTTGTGTTGTCATCCATGTCATCATCATAGCCATCGTCTTCATAGAATTCACTGTCACGTTCGCAGAAGTGCCTGTAAAATAATAGGAAATATGAGTACAGTATTCCACCTATAATTATAAATAGATATCTGTGGCTAAAGAAAATTAGTTTGTTTAGAAAAACAGATTGAGGTGTTAATCATCATAGGGCATATCTATCTATCTATCTATCTATCTATCTATCTATCTATATATAATATATATATAATATATATATATTATATATATATATATATATATATATATATATATATATATATATATATATATATATATATATATATATATATATATATATATATATATATATATATATTAATTAAAAATAAAACATTTTGTACAAGAAAGAAAAATGTACCTTGTGAGGACATACACAACTCCCTCGTATGTGGCCATCACAATCGCAGTATTGGGAATTTGTCGGACAAGTTGTGTTGCCAGTCCACGGTACAGCCCACCCCATCCTTCCTCACGGAGTACAAGACCAAGAGTCTGCCAAAAGCCTCGATACTTGCGGCCCTCTTCTCTCATCCGTGTTCTTGCTACTTCTGCAGAGAGAAAGTTGAATACAAATATGAAATATTTTTAGATTACTTGAGTCCACACATCGCATCATATATACTGTATAGGTACAGTATCGGAATTCGGTTTTTTGGACTCCGAGATGCTCTGGTCACCAGGAATACTTTATAAAAAATGTATGAAATGGGGAAGATTAGTTAAAAAAAAATCTTTTAAAAATGAAATAAAGAACATTTACTGAATACTGTACAGTGGTCTAATTAGATTTGCTATAGGCCTACTGAGAACTAAGACACGAGTATGTAAGCTGGGGCTAATCAGGTGTTGCGGCATTCAAGTTTATTTATTTATTGATTAATTATAATGTTCTCATATGCGTGGCCTTTTATGGTTCATCATGATTATTACATCAGCAGCAAGAGAAAAAAATACAATACTGTATGTAATTTGTAATGTGACTTGAAAGAAAAAGGATAAGCTGTATCAGAAGGTTATTTACTCAAGATTCATTCCTGTGAGAGCTTTCAGCTGAACAGCTTACAACAGGGGTCACTATAACACACTGTATAGTATTTGATATAAAGATACCTTCCTAAAAATGTTATTTACTACCTTTGAGCATTATATGTTGGCTCAATTTGGCTCCCTGTACACTTTGACAAATGATTAATGAATAAACCAGGGTATATGGAGATGCATAATACTGTACACTACAATACAGTGAACCCTCGAAGATTCGGACCCTGTAAATCCGGATTTCTGAAGATTTTTGAAAAAAAATTGGCGGTTCTGGGCTAAGAAGCCTCCCTAAGAAGCATTCCCAAAACAGGGTAAAGGTAGTTTTAGGCTTAGTTTTTATCTTATAAAATATCACAAACTAAACTTAGCAGAATATAACTTACATTGCTGGAATCCTTGCAAGATCGTGAATAATTTGAGTATAAACATCACATAGTTTGCACAAGAGATAAAAATTTTAGTCCTTTAGTGTAGTACATTGAGTACAAAGTGAGTACTGTACAGTAATATGTTGCTCAAAATTATGGCTTTTTCACAGGAAAAAGTATGTATAACTAACCTCAGTGGTCAGGATAATATGGACTGTATATTTGGTGTGTTTTATATGATTATTTATTGTTCTTTTTATACATTTAGTACACTGACTGGAAGATTCAGACAATCTGCTCTTCCGACCAGGTGGTACCCCCTTTTAGTCCAGATCTTCGAGGGTTCACTGTATTACTTATTAAGTGATGGAAAATACACTGCAGTAGACCCTTCAAATTTGCGGGGGTTAGGTTCTCTAAATGGCCGCGAATCGCCAAATACGCAAATAACATTTGCTGACCAGGAGAGGGGAGGGGGTCAATTTTTACTTGTGTACAAAGAAATGTATATTCCCTTTATGTGTTTGCCCTTACGACAATTGTTTCTTTTACCTGTATTGTATACAGTATGTGTGTGTGCGTGGCTAGACACACAAAACACATACAAATAAGTAATAATAGGAAAATCCTCTCACAAATAATCAGAAACAAATGTAGTATTAAAAATGTTGAGTCTACCCTCTGTAGGTAGTAAGCAGCTACCAAACAGGGAGGTACTACCGCCTGGGAAGATATTGAAAGCATAATGTGTTGTCTAATGGTAGACCCTAATGCCATCGGGCATTAAAAATTGTGACCAATTCTCAGGTTGCTGATCTGACTTTCTGCCTCATTTACATCAAATTGCAGGGTCTCAATTGTTTCTCTTACCATTGACAACACAACATACATATATAATTTCTCACTTTTTTTTGTATTTCTTTATGGTTCTTTATTATTATTATCATTACAGTGTTGTTATCATTATTATTTTATTTTAAATTTTGTTTTTGTTATTATGAATTTTATTTACTAAGAATTATTATTACATCCCCCCCCCCCCGATGTGGGTCAGTGAATTGTGCTCGGGTGGGTTAATTCTGTAAAAAAAAAAAAAAAATCTACTCTGTGCTTTGTTATTGATAAAGCATGGAGTAGACTTTAGGGTAGACTCAACATTTTCAATACTACATTTGTTTTTGATTGTGAGAGGATTTTCCCATAATTATTTATCTGCATGCATTGTGTGTGTGTGTGTGTGTGTGTGTGTGTGTCTACACCAGTGGTGTATTCTTAATGAATGCATTGCATGACTAGTAGAAAGCAAAATATATTTTTAAATAGTATCTTCAATAATACAGATTTAATTTTAGAGTCTTCACAGTTTTTACTCAGGAAAGGCGAGGAGACTCAGTGTCCCTCAATGCATGCAGAAGGATAAGCCGCATGCCCTCAATGGACATATAGACGTAACCATCTTTTCAATAACGGGCTAAAATGAACTTCAATGTGTTGGGTCATAAGGAATTTGAGCCATTTTAGTCAAATTAAATACTTTTTCCCTTAATAAGCATGAAGTCTTATGTTATGTAGTGATATTATATTACCTAAGAGTTGTTGTTCCCTAAGAGTGGCTATTTAATAAGGTTTCTGTAAATGTAATGGGAACAAATGCATGCAATTCGAAAACTGCATTCACTTGTCGAGAGGCTATGTAGACCAGCGGCGGCTCTCTGTCAGCTGGACAAAACTGGTCCACATTATTATTTTTAATATTTCTAAATAACCCAACAGTCCACTTTCAGTTATAGTTTTTTCACTTGGGAAAGTTATTCTGTTTTCTATTTTACTTGAAATAATAATCGGATCATATACGGGTAAATAAAAATATTTATTAATTATTTAAATGTTCAGCAATAAGATCATTGACAACTTTACAGAGGGCCAGCATTCTGCATGATGCCTTGTCACTTTTTTAATTACAGGTGCTCCTCTACTTAAGAACGTTCAACTTACACACTTTCAGAGATACAGACATCATCACTGAGGGGGGTTACCTGCCAGAACAGGTGTTTAATGTGGATGAGACTGGATTATTTTGAAGAAAATTCCAGATAGAACAAACATTATCTAAGAGGAGAAGAGTGAGCCAGGTTTTAAGGCTGTATTAAAGGGTATAGCTGTACTAAATGGCCATACTCATTTCATTTTATACAATATGTTTGGTATCTACAAGAGTAAAGTTGGACTTACAAACAAGCCTCAGGAACATAATTCGTTCCTAAGTAGAGAAGCACCTGTACTTTATTTCTAAATTACTGTCGCTCACACTGAAAGCTTAATATTATTTTGCCCTAAGTATTTTTGCACCCATTATTAAATGATTTATAATAGATACTTTGTCAGATGCCACTGATATAATTTAAGAAATTAGGTGTTTATAAAAGCTTGACAACCCTTATTCCGAGAAAGGCTATATTCAACTTGATATTTGATTTGATAACTGATATACAGTAAGTCCTGGTATAACGTCGGCGCACTTAACATTGTTTCGGTACTGCGTCGCTAATCTTTAGATAAAAAAAATTAATTTAACGTCCCGATGACTTGGTACAGTCACCCAAAAAAGTCCTGTCGCGAACCATGAACCCCGAGATTCAGACTCTTGAATCCGAAGCATTTATGGACAGAATAATGTATCAGTGTCTACTGCTTCGGGTTCACGAGTCTGAATCTCGGGGTTCATGGTTCGCGACAGGACTTTTTTGGGTGACTGTACAATGTCGTTTTGTGTCGTCGCGGACTACTTTTTACGGCGCATCACCCTCTCTCGTCTGGCCGCGCTACGCTCTTTCGGCTCAGCAGAGTCTCAGTGAATCACCGCCCTCCTCCTCCAATCCCTCCATACTCCTCCCCTCCCACCATCCGCCTCCTCCACTTCACTACCCACCACAAACTCGCTCTACCACCTCCGCCCATCACTGAGTACCAATACAAACTTAGTAGTTGTATATGTATGCACTAATTTCTATAGAAATGGCTATGATTTTCTGTATATATAGGAACGTAACTCTCGTATTTTATCTACGCATTTCTTATGGGGAAAATTTATCCGCTTAACGTTCTTTCGTATAACATCGCGTTTTTAGGAACGTAACCCCGACGTTAAGCGAGGACTTACTGTATGTGGTGTTCTGCATGCCTCATCAGTGCAATCATGGTAAAGGAAATTACTGTCTCTAGAACGAATGACTCCCTGTCCCGGCCGCGAAAATGCCGGAACTTTAAAATTAACCGCAGACATTCTTGGGTACATCCAGGGTGTCATCCGCGAATAATAAAGGACCATAAAATAAAAATCTGCAGATTATCCAGGTGTTCTGTACAATATTATTTATTAAATAGTAATAAATACACCTGTACTGTGCGCGTATGTGTGTAGGGGAGGGGGGATGGAGTTGATCCTTAATTTTTCACTTTAACTTATCCATTAATAAAACAGTTTACACTTACCATGTGGGTAGCAGATGGAGGATGCTATTGTTTTTGACGTTGCACCTGCAAGCATGAACTCCAGGAAGTCCCGAGTTGACCGATTATTGGGATTACCTTGCCTGGAAAGGTTAAATACAATTCTATATCTCTGTCAGCTCATCATTACACCCAAGTTCATACCGTATATATTTTTAGTAGCCTTATGATCATTACTCAATCTAACTTTACAAGGAAAACCATTAATGAACTTGCCTATCAGCAATGAGCTTTGCCTTGATGGCTTCGTATATTACGAAGTGGATGACAGTTTCCGAGATGCCATAGTATGATGCTGTGATCCCCCGGTAGAACCCACCAATACCCTGCAAAGCAAACCAGTTCAACTTAAAATTGGACAAAATTAATTCTTACATAATTTTCAATCCTCATGTATGTCAAACAAATATATTCAGTGTGTGGGAGCTTACTGGTACAATTGTGGAATTGTGTTCCTATCCCCCGTGGTAACCCGTGTCTCCAAATGGCCTATATGACCTATAGCAAACCTATCCACCAATCATTAAACAACCAATACCCATTCATTCACAGTGATACTACTACTGCAACGTTGCTGTTTAGAGACATGGGTTACAATGGGGTGTAGAAACACATTTCTGCAACTGTACCATCCAAATTTTCTTCACTGGAGATTTTGCATAAAGTATCATTTTTATCTATTAAAAAAAATCAATATTTATCCTTTCTCATCTAATTGCAAGCCTGCTTACAAGATATGAAAACATATCTTACTTTTCTAATTTTAGATCATGAACTTGTTTGTGAATTTCTTGTTAAAAACAACATGAAGACTTGGCACTACATTCACTCCTCAGAGGCATGCAGACTGGCAGGCACCCAAACTCTCTGACTATATTGGCACCACTGACTTTTGTGTGTGTGTGTGTGTGTGTGTGTGTGTGTGTCAGTGGACTGCGGAGATTTCCTTTCTATGTCATCTTTTATTTATACTGAACACTGCATAGTCAAATGAAGGCCAATTTCTTGCCTGTGGGCAGATAGTGCTGAATGCTTACAAAGACAATGTCATAAACGTACTGTACAATGAAGAGTGCAGCATTTCTCCAGACACAACAATGTTTAAAGTGATTTACGGTATATAATATATTTTCAACTTTATCTTGAGTAGACAGGAGATATGGGAGAAGGCTGAGGAGTTAGGAAGGGGAGAAGACTGGGAGAAGGATAGTGAGTAAGCAAGAGATGGTAGATACTGGGGGAGCAATAAATACTGTAGAAGACAGAGCTGCAAGCTCTAGTACAGTACTTTACAGTATAACAAAGGTCATTTGGACGAATGTAATTTTTTTTTTGCATTACAGTACAGTATATACTTTACATATATAAAAATAAAAACATAAAGGACTGATCCAGGAAAAGCCTATCTTATAAGACAGTGTGACACACAGCATCCATCAAATCTACAAGCAGGCAATGATCAAACTATTAATATGAGTCTTCTATCTCTCAACCCAGGCCATCAGAAAGGGTCTAATAGGTGATAGTCACAGCTCAAGCTTGAGTGTTAATTGAGAATTGGTGCTAGTTTTACATTCTTTGATGCATTTTTTTTAATCTAGATAGTGTGAATGATGGTATCCATGCAAAACAACAAACAAATATCCTTTGGGTCAAAACACTAATATTACCCAACTGGCAGTCTCACTCTTGGATAAGACTTTAAGACTCAGTTTAAAGTTAACCCAACAAAAGAAGGTCTAAAGGACACAAAACTGCAGTACATCTTCCTTCAAAGGTGTGGATCTCTTTCACCACCTACCAGGTGTTCAGGTCTCCCTGAACCCTTGCAGGATCCTGAAATTTACTATTGTTCAGGAAAGTGCCTGCAGTCTACCTTTTAAATTCGACAAACACCAACAAAATACCTAGACTTACACTGACTGGTGCATATCCATGATGGAACACAAAGTAACTTAAGTCTACTTAAATATTTTTCCATGGGTAAAGAAGCTAAACAAAGCTTAGTCTTCAATAACCTCCACCGACTATGGACCAGTGGGTTAAAAGGAACACCTGCCTTCTTAAATCAGAATTTAAGTAGGCACTACCATGACCCAGAAGCTTAAGTCTCTAATTGTCTATTGTTAGACTGAAACCCCACAAGATGAATCTCTTCCCCCGTAACACCTTTACCTCTTACTGACCTTCCAAGGAAAAAATGAGTCATAGAAAATGCTTGTTTGATTTCCTCCCACATTTTATTTATAAATCAAGAGGCTCACTTGTGTTTTTTTTCCTGAAGGCAGCTCAGGAGAAAAATTATTCTCTTAAAGTCTTACTTCCTAACTATTTTAAGTAGTCACACCTCATACCTTTAGGGTCAAGACCCAAACTCAGTCACTCAGGAAAAAAGCTGTACAGCTGCATATGGTTTTTCTTATGTCGAGTGCCATTCATGATGCACAACATACCTGTTGACGGTAAGTACGACGTATACACTGAAGTGCTGAGGTACTACTGCCATAAATACTGTTGTCCAGCTGCAGGCGAGTTTTGATGAACCAGATTGGATTGGTGGCTGTGCACGCAGTGAAGCCTGAACAAAGAAAACACACGATTAAATAAAAATTGCTGACGATACCCACAATTCATGTAGTCTTTACAGATAGATATACAAAAATACAGAATGATGAAAAACTAATATGCCTCAAAGAACCCAAACTACAGTACAGTATATACAGTACTGTACTATATTTGCATAGTTTTTACCTCACAACAAGTCATAGAACAGTAGTTAGGATACATAAAACCCAATTGAAGAAATAATTACAATACATATGCATGGTAAAACAGGACAGATTGAACAAATATCCTGTCTAACACAGTACGTATCATGTAATAGGAATTTTTAGATCTACAGTATTTAAAGGAGTACACTATTTCAATTAATATATCAATGAAAACCAATAATTAAAAAAAAATTGGTTTGCAAGTGAAATTGTGGAAAGGTATACAAAATCATAGTGCTGAGGAACTTCATTACCTACAGCTGAATCATTCTGCCACAAGCACATTATTCATCCATGTACTAAACACACTTATTAAAAAGTGAGTTAAGTTGAAAATTGGCAGACAAGTTGATTATACAGTACATACCGGAGTACTGGCTGACTGGGTTTTTTTTCTACCACACACACAAGCCCCTGCCTAGCTAGTCATAGGAGGGAAAAAATACCATTGGAATTTTGAGCTTTATGAAAATAAGAATTTATCGATGCAGTAACTGCCGACCGACTATCTAATCAAGTATTATCAACCTTATTTATTCCAAAACACTATTGTCACGTATCAGCATTAAAAAATTATGAATTCTAGAAAATAGGTCACAAGAATAGTGGCTGTTACGTTAGAATGAGGATCTAGATAGGAAATGACTCAACTTAACTGGTGGAGAGCCTGAAAGGCGACAAGGACGTTCGACCCCGCTCGCTCACGGTGATCAGCTGTTGTGCACGTGATACACCACCACCAACAACCCCCTTCACAAGCACTCAAGACCATAAACACTTTATCATTACTGTCATCTTTCCACTAGTTTAGGAAGAAAATAGTGACTGTATGAACACTTCTTGTCCAATACAATATGGTGCAAACATACTGTAATCTCCAAGTGCATGTGCACCTAGCTTGCCGCGGAGCAACTCAGAAATAGGAAAAAGGAGTATTGGACCTTATGACCAATGGGTGAATAGTTGATAATAATATCTAAGAAAAAATAATTGAATGCAGATCCAAACTACACGTTACAGTACTAGTGTGTAAGACATCATGATCGTTCTCCCATTCTCTGAATATGGATATATTTATTGTATAAACCAAAAACAATGGAAAAGTATGAATTCGGCTACGAGCTTATAAATGTTGTTTTAATGGGAGTACCAAGGAGTGATTACATATGGCAGCAGTAGATGGACGCAATTCAATTCAATTTCAATTGTTTATTCCTTGATAAAGGAAGAGGGATCCTAGTGCTGTCACTAGGTACCCCTGTACAATGACACCAGAAGCATCTGGCAAGTGTGACAAGTATATACAGTATAAATATTTTAAAGGGGCTTACTAAAGCCTAAGGAAGGAAGGATATTCCTTCAACACATAATCAATATTATTTACAAAATATCTGGCCAGTATGGGGAGGATCATCGTGTCTCCGTCAGGGGGTCGTGGAGATGGACGCATTATTTACACTGTCATATACTGTATAAGTGTATATATCTTAGGTCATGACAACAGTGGGATGTGATAAGTTACTCATGATTGTCCTTGAACTACATCCACAAGAAGTGTCCCTATATCCACCTTATATTTTCATCAGTGTAAGGCTCCCAATACTCTCATATTACCGCACATTACAGGAAAAAGATATATATATATATATATATATATATATATATATATATATATATATATATATATATATATATATATATATATATATACACGCTGGTTCAGACAAATAATAAATAACTCATAATAAATAAGAAGGGCGGTCTGCTTGACATCGTACCTCTAATAGATATGGCAGGATTCCAAGCACCGTAAAAAAAAAAAAAACTATGACGTGTGAGAAGAAAAACTTGGTTACCTGGGCAACACCAGTACCCAACAAAAAAAACAAGACAAATACAGACCATGTCTACTACTGTATCGCTCTTTGCAGTACATGTAATTCTTGTCTTCACACAACAGCCCACATGAGGAAAAGATGCTTCATCTCTTGAAATTTACCGACATTTCAAAATATAACCTAAAACTGAACACATAATGTCAACTAACTTATGGCATCAATAACACTTTCTCTAAAGTGCGACTCCGTGATACAACTGCAGTTATCACACGGAAACCAGAATGACGAAGGCCTGAACATAAATTCAACAGCCGATACAGCCGACTTATAACATTGTGGGCACATTTTGCGAAATATAAACTTGGTACGGAACAGTGACACGCGCAGAGATCACAGTGCCAGCGACCGTGTAGTGACGCAACAACGGATGTCAATAATGTGGGAGGAGCCTCGGAGGCAAGTGCGTAGCAAGTTTAAATTCCAACTTCGAAAGGTTCGTTCATTCATAGCATTTCCCCAACCTAGGCATATAAAAAAGCACCTGGTACAGTCAGGTTTCAGTGTTAGTTCAGTCACAGCATTTCCCCTGAATATGCAAGAATACACCTAGTCTGTGTATTTTAAACTCATTTAGCCAGTAAACTTTTGCGTCGCACCTTGGTGAGCTCGTTAAAAGTAGTCTCATCTCCAGTAAAATGGGGAGGGGGGGGGGGGCAGGGTTGTCTCAAGCTCCATGTTAGTACGAATCTGTTTACATCTCAAATAACATGTTTGCTAGTTTCAGTGTGTGTAGTACTGTCCTAACAACAAGCAAGAAGAGCAAGGTCGATCAAGTGGATTTTCAAACATCGATAAGAGGTGAAGTTCTCTATAGAGGCAGGTTGAAGGGTAGAATGGGTACAGTTATGGAGAGACGAGTTTACTACTCAAAAACCTCTGACACTTCTACACAGCCTGGGCGAAGGTAAACGGAAGCCCCCGAGAAAGGTAAATTCACCTTTCCACCCTTGAAGCAGATTATGCACTGTTTCTAAACCAAGATTATGACACAAAAAGACTACCAATAACCACTGAAACAGTCCACAATACACCTCAATTATCACATTCCGGTCTACGAATTAACCCAGCAAAACAATTTAATTTGTTTTACTCCTTCGAAGCAAGGGTCACGGACTGCTGCGCGTGGATTTCATTATATTTTTGTCTGCCCAGTGCTTGTTCAGTCCCATCAGGTACCGGCTCAAACAGAAAATGGCATATAAACAAGCTTCGACTGACAGATTCATTATTAACCACCTTTATTTTTATTCTTTACGTCACAGAACATCTAAGAAAATGGCTTAACGCTGGGTACAATATGTTCAGGTTGCCCGTAATTCATTATATCAAATTACTATTTACACTACCGGTACATGGTGAAAGTTAGGAGGTGGGGGCGCCCGGTCACTGGTCCCTTGTAGGCTTTGTAGCCAGTCGCTATTCGGACTTCCCTCGAGCGGTTATGTCATCTCTACACATACTTAAAATAACATTCAACTTAAGCTCAAAGTACATCACGTGAGCTTTACTTACATTCACAAACATTAACTTTTGTGCGTTTAAGTCTGATCAGTGTTTGTTTGTTTTTATTATTATAACAATTCCCAGCTGTTGCCGAGCTCATATTTTGTTTTTGCCCAAGCAGAAGTTCGTATCTCTACAAACATTATCAAACACTCAAGAAAATTTCCATTACCAACAGACGCAACACTCCAGGCAAAGCGGAGCTGGGTGACCTTCACATAACATTAACTTGGAAAAGAGTGGTGCCTGGCAGCGTCTTGCCGCTAACAACAAGATTTGACGCACACGTCGTCTCATACACCGGAGACCCACTACGGTACTAAGAAATTTTTATTCAAATACGACTCCTACATTTACCTCTAAGTAATTCTCCTTGCTGATTCACGAGCAACGTTCAACACTCCAATCATTATCCCGATTCCATTTTCAAAATAAACAATATTTCTAGTATATAGGGCAATCGGTAAGTATGCTTAATCAAGGAAGAATGGGGAGATTTCTTTCTATCCACGCACATTTTACAAAGAGTATATCAGTAAATAATTTCGAACCCTAAAATTATTACGTAACTTTGTCTTAAGATAACCATCCTAACGCTAATTGGATGGTTAGGTTAGTGATAGTTATCTCAAGCTGAAATAAGCTGAGGGAAGGTGTACCAATCTTCAGGTGGATCTCAGAGTAATGTAAATTGTGTGGACACGGTGTAGTGAGTGAGCAGCGGATGCAGGAGGGAGGAAGCGGGGTCATAGAGGACGTGAAGGGACGGCGCTACGTCCACGACGTAGAGTAGAAAGCGATCAATACAAGCAGGGTACCCCAGTGAGAAGGGCAGAGTTCGCTCTACTCCCTGCACTGCCTGCCATCACCCGCCTTAATATGTCATAGCCCTCAGTGCTGACCACCCCTACTAACGCCATAGCCCTTAGTGCTGGCCACCCTTTCTGACGACGGACTTGATTCAGAGCGCAGTGCGGCAACAACGGTTTAATTTGACTGACTCCTCTACCTGGTACTACACACAAATTGTTTCCATTTTGCTACAGGGAGTATTTATGTATAAGGCCTTATGACATGAGATCAGATGATGACGTCTGGGTGGAACAAATAAATTAATTACCCCTAAACACTGGGTCGTCAAAATACCTCTTCTACATCCGCTGAGAAGAAAAAGGTATTCTAAATATTAACTCTCCCACTGCAAGTGAGCTCACAGCTGGTAGTGACGCACAGAAGTAGGTCACATCAACACTGACAAATAGGTCTTATGTTGACAAGGGAGGTTAATGACCACCTGGCTTGTTGCCCGTTCGTGAAAACACACGGCAGCATCCAAGTGTTGACAGCATGGGCCAATGTATTCCCCAGTAGGTCAAGTTGTTTGGACGTGGTGAGGTTAAAATCCG